TGCCTACCAAGAATTCCTTGGACCATCCATGTTTCTAAAGAGAATAAATTAAGTCAAGGCGGATAGAGAATGGTGGTTGCATTTCGTACCCTCTGGACGTCACTGGGTATCGGGTACATGGGCTGGCAGAGACCGGGGGAGCCGGTTCAACCTCGAATTGCATGGCAAAACCCGTACCCTCCTGATGTCACAACGCTTCAAGATGACAGCCAAAATCAAAATGTGACCACCATTCTTCATCCGCCTTGAAATTACGTAGGTATACATAGCACATTGAAAGTCCTCGGAATCAAAACTGATTTCTTGAGTCATTGAGCATGATGTACTACTAAGGTACCTAAGCTTCAATCTTTGGAGTTTTTCACACTCGCTATCTAGATAAACTTAGGTAAGACAAGAGACAACCTTCAACTGTTCTAGTTCATTCTCAGACAAAATGTTTCCTCTGAAAAATTAGGAATTATTTCCAAGTACAGCAGTATTGACTTCAGAATGCTTAAGTTTGATCTAGAAGACATATCTTCAATATATAGAATTTTAATAAGGAAGAAGCTGAAATTCATGATAGGTGCCTAAGTAATCCATTTTCAAGAGAAAAACATTTTGAAGAAAAAAAAGGCAATTCTGAAATCAAGCTGTTCCTGCATTTTAGCTTTAGCAGCAGTTATGTTTGCAATGATGAGTACTTAACTGGTTGAGAGCCGCTTTATAAAAAAATGGATTTCACAAAAAATTTGCGAATTAAGTAAGTAAACAATGTAAGATTGTTGTAGAGTCTAAGACCAAGAACATGCATCTAAGGTTGAGGCAACTGTGCAAAATCTATGAACTAGAGATTCAAAGAAAATGAATGGAAAACTAACTGATTAAGCATTAGTGATACAGTTTCTTAGCCATTTTCAACCTGATTCTCAGCTCATTTCAGAATCATCAAGAACTGTGCGGTGATACTTGGTTTCACTGATCATGAATTACCTAAGTGTTCTACTTTGACTGAAGAGATTTGAGACAGTTCCATGGCGATGTTTACTTGGGTAACTTGTGATTCACTTAAGGAGACAGAAATAAGGACTCTCTACCTACCTTTGTCCTAACTAACTTGAAGTAAAAATAATTGCCGTGTTGAGACACTAAATTAGAATTAATTCCACGATCATTCTCATATGACAGTCACACCCGTTTGCTTTGTAATGATATCCTCTGTGACATTATCAACCTTTGGCCTTCAGTAAGGATTCAGAGCAAGTACAAAGCTTGCATATGCGAATACTAGGATCTTCTGCATTATATGTTGGCTTGCAAGGCATTCAACATTCTCTGTGTTAAGTAAATCAATTGACATGACATACACGCCTGACTTATCTGCCTAAGTACTTGCATAGCATGAGCTCCTCATTAAGAATAATGGAATAGATACTCATAAGAAACCTTTGACTAAACCGAAAAAAGGAGAAAATAGAAGGGAAGGACATACCTTGTTGGAAGAACCAGGATCTGTGACAGGGCCATCAGATACATGGGATAAGTCACTCTTGGAGGAGGCATTAGGATTGGAGTCGTGAGTTGACATTACTGCTAAGTTAGACATTTGAGGATGCTGCCTCAACTTTATAATACTGAAATAAACACTGAGGGCGTGAGCTAGACTACTGTGTTTATCGAAGTTTCAACGTAACTGACAAGACTCAAAAAATTGAGGATCTAAAACGAATGAACGAATTGAGTTGGAGCAGAGATTATCGCAAAGGCACGGGACTGGTGGGATGAAGAAAAATTAGGAATACTGCGACTTAAATTAAAGCCATTTTAAAGTCTTCGACCGCACGGCACATAATTAATCGTCTGACCGATTATATGGGGTTGGGCTGAAATGAAAATGCAGCTGAACATCACAATCACCAACATACTTTTATCAAAAAGTGCCCACGAAGGAAAGCACAGAACACAGAATAAGGTTTTGTAGAGACAACACTTTACATGGGATAGGGGCCAAAGAGTAGGCAGCTTGCTTTGCTTAGTGGGTACTTGAGATAAGATACAAAGTTTTCATTGGCCACTGAGGTCTGCCAAAGTAGGCGAGAAGAACGGTATGCGAGTATGCACTTTCTTAGGGGTTACCCTTATCATAGGTTATTATCAGGAAATCGAGTGTTTATTGTCAATCATTACCTTGATTTCATTTCGTCGTACGAATCTAGTGGTGGAAACTTTTTGTAATGATTGTTCCAAGCTTCTGTATCGCTCTCTGAATTGTGAGTTATCTTAATCTTTTCCATTTTATTTATTTCTCGCATGTACATTTTGATTTTTAACGCCAAAGCAGGTCTGCAAACTCTTATCAGTTGTCTGAAAGATTATCAGAAAAGTGGTCTCATTTCCTGGAACCCAGCTCCATCAGTTTTCCCTGAATCATTTTATATCTATTATTATGTTTCATCGATTTGTGCGAGGTATTTTAAATGTAATTTTCTTTCATTGTCAATCATTCTGAAAAATGAGGAGGAACTTCATTGCCACCTCCTGAGGTATGTTTGTCATGATCCTGTAACCTAATTTACAATGTTTTCTATCGCGCCACAAAATGTCCTCCTCAGATGCAAAATCATCCATGAGTATTTTTTACATTTCCTTCACAAGGAGAGGAAAAGGAGGATATGTCTCCCTCCCATCCATTTAATCTACATAAACATTAACATATTTCAACCAACCTTCTACAAAGTCCGCCTGTCCATCTCAGCTCCGTTCTTGTTTCCTAGTATCAGAAAGCCTAAAGAGGTTTTAGCATAGGAACAAGACCAGCATTTGTGTTAGCGTCACTTGTGCTTGTTCAACTGGTCAGTTTTTGGAAGTTTCCTGAAACGGAGTTCATCAATTCATATTCTGCCTTGACTCTCCCTGCTTTTATCTATGTGGCAGCGAATGCTTTTGTCGTGGGCTAAAGATCATCCCCCCACTACAGAAGTTTATTTACATTTCATTATCTTCTCCCATCTCCCACATACCAGATAAAACTTTGGGTACTTTCACATCAGTGAAATGGCCTTTTTCCCGCACTGTGCAATCTGCTTGATAGCACTGAGGGAATTTTCATCCTACAAATAAAATATTCTTCTCATAATGTAATACACCCATTTCTGAGGTTGACTTTGTGTTTGCATGTCCCTACACACACTTAAAAAAAAAAAAAATGAAAAAATTAATGTACTTACATTTATTCACCTTTCCCCTTTAACAAAGAAACTGAACAGGATCCCTGAAAATATAAGAAACTATTTGGGATTTTTCCTATTATGAAAGAAGTAAGGAAAAATAAGTTGCAAATTTTTTTTTTTTTTTTTTTTTTTTTTTTTTTTTAAGTACGATTTTCTGTTAGGAGCTTAGGTGAAATTCTTTTGACATCAACTAAAACTTGCCCTAACAGCTTTAAGTATATGACAGATGCGAGAGAATGTAAAAAGTGAAGTTGTTCAGAAAGAGTCTCGGCACCCAAGTAAATACTTTCTAACTTTGAAAATACTTCCAAGGCCGCAGTATCCCCCGGATTTAAAGCCTAAAAGAACACACAAAAAAGAAGAAAAAAAAATTGAAAATATGTGGACAGAATTTTTCAAATTCTTCTCATTTCTTTTCATCTTTTTAAAAGCTGCACATAACTACTTGAAAGTGATTTTTTCCTGTCTCTTTTTCTAACACAAAAATCTGAACCCAACCTTTTTATATCTTATTATTATTACTCAACTCGATTGGTAATAATAAAAGATATGTTACAGTTAAATTCGTGTTAATAGTTCATAATGATATTTTTTCGATGCTGGGAAGCTAATGCTCCATCACCTTCACAGGCGAATCTAAAGGGTTGGCTAAGGGGCATGTGCCCCCCCTCCCCTTGTTAGGCTGAAAAAAGAGAGAGAAAGAAGGGAGGACGCTTATATTTCATAATTATTCAAGACAAAATTTAAGCAAACTGTGCAGCAGTGTTTGTAATTCACAGGCGCCATTGCGCCAAATATGCCTAAGAAATAGGTCATGACGCCTAAAAAATGAAGGCTCTGCACCAACGTGGCCCCTAAAAATTGCCCCCCCCCCCCCTAAAAAAAATCCTACTTTTTCTGTCAGGTGATTTTTCGAAAGTTACAATTTACAGTTACTAGTACTGTAAATAAAACATCTTGAATCTAACTTTTCACTTTATGCGCCGTGGTATATAGACAAAAAGGCCATTTGGCCCCTAAAAATCGAGCTTGATGGGCCACATGGCTCCTGAAACTCGAAGGTGCGTTTCGGGCACTGCGTTTATGAGATACCTTAAAATTTCTACAATATTCTGAGGAGGGACCCCCCCCCCCCCCACACACACACACACACAAACCGCTCTTCCCTCCCGTTCGAAAAGTCTGGATCCGCCTTTGAGTACCTTTAGCTCATGGAAATTATCAGGATTTTAATTTTTGGAAGGGGTGGGGGTGGGGTGTCGCCTCTTCAATCATTGATAAGTCGGTTGTGGCGAGCGGGGGAGGGGGGAGGGATTCTCTTTGGTCTTCTTCTGCCTCTTACACCTGTAAAAGATTAGGCAGGTGACGTTGATCGTGTTGACGTGGTGACGTAAAGTATTAATCATCGAAAAAAAGCCGAGGGCCGAGACTGCTTACAAAATATCCGGGCTGACGTCACGTGAAAGTAAATGAAACTCTCCTATCGAGTATCGATCCCTTGTCTTTTCAAGTGAAGGAAATGTAAATATTGATTGAGTTACCCAAACCAAATTGGCATTTCCTGCATTACCTACTTTCTTTCCGTGTGTCTTATGCACCTATTTAAACCTCTCTCATTCATACCCCCCCCTCCCCCCTTCTGGGAATCTTTGACTGTTTAGGTCCTCTTATGTTAGAAATGTCTAATGGATGAGAAAGTCCAATTCCTACATTCTCCATTTTCCGCGAAGGAAGCATTGGAATTTTGTCCTCTTTTGCACTAATTTTTAACTCAACCCAAACTCTTTTACTATGAATTACTGTTCAGCGTGAAAAGGTCAAATACAGTCATCTAGCAGATGTTTACTTTTTGCAGGCAAAGACCCCCTACGATGTGCAGGCAAGATGGCTGCGTCGCGCGACGGGAACTCAGGGCAGTTCGAGCACTCTCTTCCCAATACCTACTCTAACCCATCCTATCGTCCGCCGCCTCCCTACCCCACCCAGCTCGTAATTCTCAAAATACTTTGGCAAGATATTTTTCTGATATAATTTAAGGATATAATATAATTATTGACATAATTATTATGATATAATTTATTTAAGGATTGAGGATGGAGAATCTTTAGAATTTATGGAGAAATCACAAGCTTGTGTGGGGGCCCCAGCGTTCTGAGGCATTGAAATTAATCTTAAACGTACCTATTTACATTTTGAATTTTGGTGGAAAATACGGGGGGGAGGGGGGCTTTAATTTATATCTGAGCCATGTATGTTTGATTAGAGGATTTACTTATTGCTAAATAGGCAGAGGATGCCAGATGATAAGGGATGAGTTTGAGGATTGTATGCGCACAAGGTATAAATGTTTTCAGGATAAAGCTATGGCAGCTAAAAACTAAGATAGCATCCTTCCTTCCTTATTGGAATCAGGCGTAGATCTCAGGAAAAATTTAAAAAATAAAAGGAGGCTATCTACGTGTGGGAGAAACACACAAGTTACTTAGAGTACTTAGAGTTAAATTTTAGGTAAAAAAGATGTGTAGTTGGTCGGTAAGATATTGTTTTAGCAAATTTTTCAAGAAATGTGCTAAAGTGCCTCGTATTTACCTATTAACAGGAAGTTTCCAGAAGTTGTACCATTGTGCCACAAAAAGAAATTGATAAATTTGTGCGAATGTTTAGTTAAAGTTTTAGCTTGATGGTTCATCTTTACATGGAAATATTTTTGGTACAATTATAATTTCCACACTGAAAGTCTGGCAACACAGCTAACTTAGCAAAATCCCTCATATTTCTTAGGAATTAAAGTCAGATGTGAGGGTAAGATTTATCCCCCCCCCCTCCTCCTCTCAACTAGTTCCCCCAATGCGCACAGAATGTACTAATAAGCAGCATAAAGCAGAGGGAAAGATACAGGTATAATTAATAGATAGGTATTCACAACATGGATGATTTCAAAATTTGACATCTGAAGCATTTTTGAGATAATATTAAGCACCGATAGTATTCTCCGGAGGAGGCTGCAGTGGGTGCTGCATGCATGTACACAGCCTGGCAAATACGTAAGTACAACTCTGCGTCTTTACCGACCAACTACACATCTTTTTTACCTAAAATTTAACTCTAAGTACTCTAAGTAACTTGTGTGTTTCTCCCACACGTAGATAGCCTCCTTTTATTTTTTAAATTTTTCCTGAGATCTACGCCTGATTCCAATGAGGAAGGAAGGATGCTATCTTAGTTTTTAGCTGCCATAGCTTTATCCTGAAAACATTTATACCTTGTGCGCATACAATCCTCAAACTCATCCCTTATCATCTGGCATCCTCTGCCTATTTAGCAATAAGTAAATCCTCTAATCAAACATACATGGCTCAGATATAAATTAAAGCCCCCCTCCCCCCCGTATTTTCCACCAAAATTCAAAATGTAAATAGGTACGTTTAAGATTAATTTCAATGCCTCAGAACGCTGGGGCCCCCACACAAGCTTGTGATTTCTCCATAAATTCTAAAGATTCTCCATCCTCAATCCTTAAATAAATTATATCATAATAATTATGTCAATAATTATATTATATCCTTAAATTATATCAGAAAAATATCTTGCCAAAGTATTTTGAGAATTACCCTGGTTGACTTGGGTTGGACTCGTTTAGAAATTTAATCTCAATCAAAAATGCCAATTCCCTGAGCTGAGCAGTTTAATTTTTCTCCGCGAGTGAAATTTGTGCTTGGCGCCATTAGGAGCAAAGAGTAGGGGAGAAGAGAGAGCAACAGAGCAGAATCATGGAGTCCGAGCGAGCTGCACGCACGCTCCACCAGCTACTCCCGCTCTGTGATCGCCTGCACATCGTAGGGGGTCTTTGCCTGCAAAAACGCTCAATCAACAGACTGCTCCGCCGAGTTATCAGTTATCCCGCGTGACGTAAAAACATGGTGGCCCGAGGATATCAGTCCCTCCACCTTCCATACTTCTCTCTAGAGTCCCTTTATACTGAGAGTCAAGACAATTTGAATCCATTTCTGATTGGTTCCCGTATTTTAGGCCTCCACGGTGTCTTGACGGTGTCACAAACGGGAATAAAGATTACATTTTCACCAATTGCAAAGATTATAATCTGGAATGGACCAGGGAATTACGGGTTCGGCAAGGAACAAACGGAATGAGAGGAGGAACGGAGAAAGGCATTTGAGAATGGGACGATCAAAGATTACGAAAAACGTTCAATTTCTGTAATCTTTATTCCCGTTTGTGACATCCATGAGCCGAATTGTCTTGACTCTCAGTATAAAGGGACTCTACTTCTCTCCAGTGCCAGTGGTAAAATCGTAATGGCGGAATGGCCGCTCTCTCCTCTCGGCTGGTCCTCCGCACAGATTTTCTTTTCTCTAAATTGTTTCTGTAACTTATTCTATTTTATTCAAACCCCAGTGTAAAACAACAACCGTGCTATCAAAGTTCCTTAAATTTTCCCGCAAATTGTAAGTAGCGCCTCTCTTGCATCGTTTTCGAATTCTTGTTGGAGGGGTGAACGACCTTCGTTCGTGCTGCATAGCCTCGACGAAGCCTTGATCCTCCTTCTTGACATTTACTCAATTTCAAGTTCTTTTCCAGTTTTAGAATGTTCCCTCTTTACAGCGGGCCTTAAATCTCTGGGCATTTCGTTTTAAATGTGTATCGCGTTCTCTAAGCTCGATCCCAACCATACCTTGCTAGTTGGTTACAAATCTCTTTTGTTCCCCTCCTGCAGACCATAATGTCTTTTCTAATAGCCTCCCTTTTTCTTTCATATTACGATAAAATGAAGTTTCTTATCACTGGCATGCCCCAGACATCACCTACGCCTTCAGTTTATGAAGCTTAGCCGTTTCAATTGGGCATTATCTGTTTTTATCGCCTTGGCTAATTGATGAACCCAGACAGTTTGGTACCAAGAACTGCCCATAGCTTGGATGCTAGTCCGTACCGTACCAATTTTTGTCTGTTTTTATAATTTATGGTGGTGCTTCTCTGAGTAGTTTGACAGGATGTTTGGTTTCCTATTTTTGTGCGATAAAATGCAAAAAAAACCATGTAATATGATTGCAGGTAGTGCATGGCTTCCTCTGATGATAGGCTCCTGGAGTGTCACCAGGTGCCATTACAAAGAGAGTTAATTTCTTTCTTGTTCTTTCACCTTAAATCCCTTTAAGATTTCTCACTCTGAATTCGTAAAATATTGTTAGCATTTTTTTTCTGTAGACTACTAATAACTGCTGAAGTTCACCTCATAGAATCAGAAGTGATTCGTTTGTGATCATAATCAAGGTTCAGTTTTCTATTTTCTAATTGTTTAAAGAATCTCCTACCTGGGTCTCCTTACTTTAATTCCTCGATATTGTCTCTAGAGGACAAGAAATGCACTATTAGAATGCTGGACGAAAAACAGGCTGGAAAGAAACTAAGGTTATTTTTGTCGGCTTCAGCAGCTAAAAATTAGGAGGAGTTCAGTCACAAGTCTCCTGAGAAATTTTATTCCCCCATTTTTACTGATGCAAAATAATCGGATCTGTTTTTACATGATAGCATCTAGGCTCATCAAGCCATTTGACCGGAAAAACTTTGTCATCAGAGATAGGAGGGAATATTCTCAGCCATACGAAGGAAGAGTCCCACTGTGTACAAAAATGATCTTGGTTTCTCTCTATCATGCTCTAATTTTCTGCAACAATTGAAGTTGAACAGAAAAAGCTCTGCTTGTGTGGAACATTTCTTTTCCTTCTGGCCAACTGTAATCAGAACTGATTGAGAAAAACCTAGGTTATTTATGTAATCAGCACTAAAATTATCCTTAGATTTGTATGGAGGTATGAAATCACTAAGCTTGTTTTTGAGAATTTTGGAAAATTTATTTTCTCAAGTATTTTTAGTTTTTCTTTCCATGGATAATTTGTCTTTTATTTTTTAAATTTCAGTTCTGTTAAATCCTAGCCACAGTGAGTAGGTTCGCTGTTAGTAGGTTGAACTTGCAAGCAACAACGGACAGCTCGAGAGGACCGGGGGGTGCTTCTCGTGTCACGGGAGGAAGGTAATCTATTTATTTTATACACCATCTTTTGAATTATATCCAAGTAAATTATCCGTTCAATTATTCACCGTTTATTCTCTGCTGTTCACTTCCTTGATCCAAATCTCAGGCAGCAAATGAGAAAGCCACCCATGTTGAAGATGAATAAATTGATCTAATCATGGGCTCAAGTTTTCTCTCTCTTTTACGCTCATTATCAAAAAATCACAGATTGCAATGTAATCGTTCAAGAAGTTGCCCCACAACCCAAAGCTCATGTTCAAAAATTCTGACTTAGAGCTATTTGTCAATCATGTCAATGGTTCTTATCATTGTTTGTTATTAAGGAGGACCTTTTATGCGTTGATGAATATTTAGAAGATAAGTACTTCTTAAAATGTTTCATGAATTTTACAATATTTGTGATTTGTGCTCAGGAAACCTGCAAACGGTAAAGCACCTATGAAAGAGCATTGAACCAAAGCTTATTTAAAACCAATGATAAAGTACACAGACCTTAAAAGTCTTCAAATAAGTGGGGATATGTAGAGGCCTCTTAAATTCTTTCATAGAACCCTTATAATTACTCTTCCTTAGTCTCGTAACTATTTGACTCAAACGTTCGTTAAATGTCGAGCATTTGTTTTGTGCATTGTCAATGCCTCTGAAAATGGAAAGATACCAAAGAGTCAAAATTTCTCAGAAGTCTCAAAACTGAGCAATTAGTTTTATGTTACTTGTATCTGGATCCATAATTGCATACTCTCAGTTGAGTAAACCTAAAATATATTACAAATTGAGGGTGGGAACACATAAATTATTACTAGTTCGATGACTTATTTCTGCTCTCAGCCATTAGCTAAGCACATGTTTTCTTTTTTGTTTAGGGACGAAGAACCTCGCTCCCAATCCAATATTGGACGTTGGGTTCCTCCAGCCTTAAGACGCGATGCACTTGCCCAAGAAAGCCCAGAAAACATCATCTTCCGCAAGGTAATATTCGTTTGCCTGGGATGCTCAAAGCTCACCAGCGTTGTGCTTTAATTATAAGTACCTATGTGGGCTTGTCAGATTTCAGTTGTTATTTTTGGACCTTAAACTTTTATTTTCATGATTAACTTCTGAAACCTCATGGGCAAACTTGGTGAGCACTATTGAAACTTAAAGTAACTTCTGAAACCTCATGGGCAAACTTAAAGAGCACTATTGAAACTTAAAGTAGGGGAGAGAATAAATGTTTTCAACTCTTACTCCCTGTTCCTTTTCCTATCAATTACTGAACCTTCTGATCAGATTCACACAATTCTCCATTTCGTACCAACTCAAAATCTTATTCGAGTGAGCACACAAAATAATCTGAGTGGGACGATCTATTTTTTAGCATTTACCAGGGTCGCCACAGTCAGGGAAAAGTTGTTAAATCACCTTTTATTGCTTTCTAGAATGAGTTTGAAGTTTCGGACAACAAATTTTGCCTCTTTTTATTTATTTATTTGTACTTGGAGCCTCTGCTTTGAAGGGCTAAAATTCACGTCAGTATAAATACATTTTAGCTATTTACACTTAAAATTTTACTCATACTTAGCTACTGTACATGTTTATACATCACTACAAATTTAAAAACACCAAAATTTGAATATGTCTTTTTAACCGTCCATCACATCTTCAACTGTCAGGGAATCTCATTTTCTGAATTCTGTGGCAACCTTGGTACGATCAATCGTTGATTTATTATCTATGTAAATGATTTGTGTTCTATTCTCACTTCATTACCTCCAAGACAAGTAATGTAGGGCTGTACCAGCCTTAAAATGCCTTCAGCTGTTTATGGTTTCGCATTGATTTCCTTACAGGTTAGAGGGATTCTTAACAAGCTTACTCCTGAGAAATTCCATAAACTGAGCTCTGACTTATTGCAAATTGAACTAACAACATCAGAATATGTGCTGAAGGGCATCATATTTTTGGTAAGATACCATACCATGTATTTTCTGTTTAGATGCAAATAAAGGTTTGATAGTTAAATTTAGTTAAATTGATTTTATGAAACTTTTAGAAATGTAGCTTCCAACTTCATAAGAGTACATAGGAAGTTACCAAAATTTGGACTGTAAAAACTAAAATGTTAACCTTTCCAGCTCAATGAATGATGTACTCAAATTTCACCAGAATTAAAGTGTCAAGGTTGAGCTTAATTTGCGCATTTTTATTATTTTTTTTTCTCTCTTATTCCAGAGGTATGTTGTTTAGTTTTGTTACCTTTCTACCGCAGTGATTTAAAAAAATAGACAGTTTCCAAATAGCAAAATTTATTTTCATGGTTCACAAGTTTATTAATTATTGATTTTTATGAAGTTCGAAGGCACACTTCTGAAAGTCTAGCTTTCTGAATCAAATATTTTTATCCTTTGAACATCCTTCATTTTCACGAACACTAATAAAAAGGAGAGACCTGTGACTTGCGGCTTTCTTGATAAATTTTATAGAACGCTATTATTCAGAGCTTTCACTGCAGCTTTCACTTGAGCTTTCTAATACAGATATACTTAAACGTTTTTCTAATGTCTTGGGGTTTATGTGTTTAAATGCAGATCTTCGAAAAAGCACTTGAAGAGCCGAAGTATAGTTCTATGTACGCTAAGTTATGTAAGCGCCTAAAGGAAGAAGTTTCTGAACGCTTGAATAACGAAGACGGAACTAAGCCGACGCTTTTTGAAATTTTGCTGGCAAACACTTGCCGGCAGGAGTTTCAAAGTCGCTCGAACATCACCGAAGGTCTTGAAAAGTCTGGCATCGTCACAGCTGAAGATGAAGAAAAACTACAGATTGCCAAGCGCAAGATGCTCGGGAACATCCGATTCATCGGGGAGCTGGGTAAACTGGGAGTTGTCCCCGATTCCACACTCCATAGGTGCATTTACCAACTCTTACAACGCATATGCAAAAACAATGGAAAGGATAAGGTTGAAGATATGGAGTGCCTCTGTCAGATAATGAGAACCTGCGGAAGAATTCTGGATTCGGGTAAAAGTCAGGTAATGCTCATTACAATTGGTTGATATCTACTCCTAATTTTACCAATATGGATTCTAACATAGTTTTCTGTCGCATCTTTAGCGTGTTGGAACACAATATAGGAAGAAGAAAATGTATTTTTTCTCTAGTCATTTAAAGCTTCTGCGCCATATCTCTCAGCAAACTCTGCAGTAACTGATGAGAAAGCAAACAAAAAAAATTAATTGATCATATAAAGCTGAATATTGAGCAAATTACATCCACCTATTTGTTTCGTTTACTTCTTTTCTCATACTTGTAATAGTTAGCATCGCTAAAAAGTTCTGTTCTCTGTAAAATTTTGCATGCACAGTTGGTTATATAAATTTATTTTTCTTCCCAGAATTTTATGAACCAGTATTTTGAACGGATGGAAAAGTTGGCGAACAAAACTGACTTTCCTCAACGCATTCGTTTTATGTTGCAAGATGTTATCGAACTCCGAAAGAACCGCTGGATTCCACGAAAGGCAATTTCTGCTGAAGGACCTATGCCTATTGCTCAGGTAAATGTTCTTAGTATACTATACTATACATTTTTGTTCTATGTTAACACTTTTGTTAATTGAAAACGTTTTTAATCACCTTGTGAGAGTCATAGTGGGACTCCTTAAGAGGAATGTTTGGTGTTTTAGAATTGTCTGCCAACTTCATCCAAGTAGTCAGCCGTGGTGAAAAGTAGTTTTGAGTCAAAGCGATATCCTTGTGGCAGTGAATCATCAGATTAGTCAGATTCAAAACAACTTTTTGCATTTTTTGAAGCACCTAATAAAACTGAACTGATTGTAACTCATTTACTGGGATGTCAAAAATTTTTCAGTCAGAGACTCAATGTCTTTTAGACTTAATTTAATTGAAGGCCCAAATCAGTTCAGTGTATTAAAGGCCTCCTGCATGTAATATCTCTTTCTGTGGCCATTAACACACATGCTCAAATGAGGAGATTTTGTCAGTTTTCTCTGGCTACTTATAGATTATAACTTCTCATGCTTTCTCTCTCTTTTTATTCCAGTTAGGCTTTGTCATTTAAAATAGTCTTAACGTATGCCTTTACATTAAGATCAGACATATGATGAGAGAAGGGGGAGGGAAAGCTGCCCAGCCCCCCCCCCCTCTCTTTTTCTCTCTCTCTCTTTATGGGTACAAGGGGCCTGGGATAAGTAAGAGACTGACTTGGGCCACCTAGAAATTAGCCATCTAGAGACCCAGAAAGATGTGTGCACTTTTTCTTCTCACTAACAGGTATTCCAACTTTCATTTTGTTTTTATTTTATGCAGATCATCGACGAAGAGCACAGTAACAACGGAACAGTTGGTTTTAAGAGTCTTATGCAGGGACAACTATCTGGTCAGCGAGGAGGTTTCCAAACACCGGATCTTTTCAGACGACCTCTGAAAATGCGAGAAGACATGCTGAGTTCCCCCTTTCCAACCCCTCACCCATCGCATGACAAATTCAATTCGTAAGTTATGCTCTTATCTACTTTTAATAACTGTTCAGCCCTCATTCCAAAACCCTAGCTCTGTGATAGAATATTTAATTTTTAAGGAATCATACAATTTTTGAGGTTAGTGTTGTTTGAGATGTCGCTATCGTAATGTTTAGTTTCGGATACCATATTTGACATAATTGCCCAAAGTGACAGTTCCACTATGGCACGTTTATTTGGTTAAACCTCCAAAATTTAAACATTAAGTTTGATGGGAACCCTTGTTTTGGGGGCTGGCCATAGTCATTTTTTTTATTCATGCCTCTATGTATCACATCAATTTGCTATCACTCAAAAAAATTAAAAAGAGATTGTCCTACTTTCTTGATTTTTTCGACTTAACTAATTCTTTTCATTCCTATTACTTCCGTAGGTTTAATCTTAATGGTTTCAATTCGGGTGGCGGACTCAACTTTCGCAACCAAGGCCGGCAAAACCATTTCATCTCCTCGTCAATGGGCAACAGCATGCAAAGTGCTCATCAACCTAACTACTATCAGAATAGATCAAATTACAACAACAATCAGCATAACAACAATAATAACAACAACAATAACAACGGAACAAGCAACACCAGTAAGTTGGTCATGAAATTATTCAAATTTTTTACTGAAGCAGTCTATTTCAGCGAGATCCATTTCTTGCAACAATATTTTACCAGAATGCCTGAAGTGAGAGTAATTAATTTTCTGTGTATTATTATTATTTTATAATCCCCCTTTTTTCTAATTTGGTTACACCTGAATTAACTTTGATCATTTGATCTGTAGACAATATTACTGTAATATGTTACCTCAGTATTGTCAAATGCTTCTTAAAGCCTGATTTGCCATCGCTGAGATCAGTGCTGTAGTCAGTGCACCATTTTAACAATTTTTCTTCCCTGGTGCAATTAAATTTTTTTCTTTAGATTTCTGTATTAATTTAATTGTATCACCTTTTTTTTCAGATAAAGAAATTGCTCCTCGTTTCAAGAAACTGTTGCAACAAGGTTCTAACTTGGAGGATGTATCCCTAAGACCCCCTGCCAATTCCATGATTTGCAAACCTCCAAATAACGTTAAGCCGTCATCGACCATGACAAACAATATGGGTAAGAATAACAACGTTTTTGAACATTTAGAATTCAATGAGCTACTTGCAAAAGTGTATATGGATCTCCAGACAGGATTAGAACTCCATCATCTTCATGATTAATTTATCACCAAAATTTTACGGACTAAACTATTAACACATATTCAATTTGAGAATGCACTGAAATTAAAGAGGAGATTTGTAATGCCTTTGATACCATTGAATTTTGGATAATCGTGGATACTCGTGTATACTATACTTGTGTACTTGGAGGTCCTCAAGGCATTTTTGAAAGCCTTTATGGCTATTTGTACATTCTTGAATGTATTTAAAAATAATTGTAGAAATCCTTGATTTTACTCAGTGGCATTCTTTGAAAAGTCCCTGAAAGACTTGAATATTGGTTTCAAAAGGAGATCATGAACTGTGAAATAGCGAGCAAGATTAAAGCAGCACTTGCTCGCGTTTCTTTTTTGTCTTCTGTGTCTGAACTAACTTGATGAATTTGTTCTTTTGCAGTAAGACCCTCTAATCTCATGACAGAACCACTCATGGTAACACCGCCGATGAAAGCTTCACCAATGGTCCAAACGAACAAGGATCCTGTCATTTTGATAAAACCAGCTGCCAACGACAAGAGCAAAATCAACAAAAAAGAGAAGGTAACCTTTTTGTTACACTTGCTTGCTTTCATAACTATATTCATCTCATTAAAAGCTGACTTGCTAGACGTCTAGTATCAGGATTTTCCCGATTCTATCAGGATTTGAGGTCAATCAGGACTTGAGGAAAATTTGATCGTAAAATCAGGATTTAAGAAAAGTCGGTCGTCCGCTTATTTTCTGTTAATTATCGGCTATCCGTCCATTAATTTTTCTCCACAAAACATCAGGATTTGGAAAAATTATGAAATCAGGATTTAGTAGTCAAAAATCAGAATAAAATTAGGATCTCATTAGGATTTCCCAAAATGAAAAAAAAACTACGACACCCTGGAATTCGTCAACTCTCTAGGGCCATTCGTTAACTTAAGGAAAACACAGACAAAAAACTGGCTCACAGCTTGTAAACAAGTTACTACTATTGAAAGAAGAGAGTCTAGGATAATGAGAATAGAAAGTAACTGTTACCATTAATTGTGATTTTAGAGAAATAAGTACGCCAATGTAAGTTGCGTCAATATATTAATCAATTTTATTCTTGAAGGAAGGTTCAAAAAGACCCTGAACCCTATGAAATTATCATCTCAGTCCTAGATGTAAAACCATCTCTGTAGAATCTTGTGAGACTCTTCTTGAAGTTAGCTACATCTATTTTAACTGCATCTGATAATTCTCTCTTGTTTTCCCTCTTAGAGTTTAACGAAGGAAGAAATAATGAAAAAAGTGGGCTCTTTTGCTAAAACCTTGGCAGAAAATGGAAACATCGATGAAGCAGTGAATAACTTCCGTGATCTAAAGATAGCAGATCATCTGGTTCCGGAGGCAATCAACACCCTTTTCACCCATCTGATCAACAAAACTGGTAAGTTGGCTGTGTGCTCAATTCTTGTATGAGCAAGCTCATAGTCAGGAAAACAAACAGTGATATTTTGTGTGGTAACCCACTAGAATTATCTGTAAACTATGGCAGCAAAATCAGGGAGCTTGAATCGAACGTAAAATTTTTATTTAAAGGAAAGAAAACTAAGTATTGAGATTTTAGCCTGCTCAGTGGAAGTGAAGCAAAAGTATGTGAATTCAGGCCGTGCCTGACAATGAAACGGAGGGCCAGAGAATTGCATGTTAATTTTAAAATTACCTTCACATAGTGTCAATAGCATACAACATCCATAGCAGCAGTATGGCTGCCATTGTCATCATTTATAGGTAACATTTTAATAAATATGTAATCCTCTTGCGAACTGTCTCATTGTCAAGCATGGCATGAATTTACATAGTTTCGTTTCGCCTCCATTGTATCAGCTAAAAGCTTGATACCTTGTTTTCTTTCAATTATGAGTAGCCAAAAACCTGTAATTGTTGTTAATTTTTATTTATATTGAAAAGTTTCTTTTTCTCTTTTATTGTTCAACTGCAAGCAAAAGTCAAAATTTTCACTGCTTTCGCCCTTTTCTTTTGTTTTTTTTTTAAGAGTCTTCTACCATATGCATGAAAAGGCATTGTTTGTTAGAGCTATTGTGCATACTTTTATTTGAATAAACAAACATTTTGCTTCGCTCATACCTTACTATAAACAAGATTTTCTCTCAATCCTTTATTGTTATTCAATTATGTGTTTGCCCAAGGTACACTCTACTACAGGTATGGACTAACAGGGTGCCCTAGGGTGCGTCAAAAAAAATGAAAGTCTGAAATGTTCCGCTCCCCAGGCGGCAATCGATGACGTTTGGTAAAAAAACATGTTTGCCAAAATTTGGGCCAATTTCAACCATTTTAAATGGTGCCAAAGGTCAATTTTGTGATGAAATTATGATATTTTGGTTTAGACCTCGATTTCGTACAAAAAACTCGATTTTACGCTGAAATCGTGCGTTTACGAGAAAAATGTCAAAGAACTCGACTTGTAGAGGATGAAATTTTACACTAGGAGGACGTCTTTGAAACCGATAAAAATCAAATTGAACTAGAAAAACTCAACTTTGTATTTATTTTTTTGGTCCTCAGAATTTCCGAGGTCTTACTAAGTAGAGGTTTAAAAGACTCATTTTTCACGAAAATAAGTCGAAAGAGGGTATAAATGAACTGTAGGCAAGTGTTGAGGATGCAAATGTCATCAGAACTTCCTCAGTTTCAAAAAAAGTTCCAACTATTTTGCACAATCCTCCAAAAAGTGTACGGCTCGAGAAGCAGGATCGTGCTATAATAGTAGGGGTAAAGTGCGGTTTGACCGGGAAAAATTGCGTAACAAACTTTCCCTATGTAATCGTCATCAGTAGGTCCCCCTGAACAACTTCCTAAAAGTTAAAAATGGCCCGACCCCGGAATATCCCTCAAAAAAGTTAAAATTGAAATGGCGGCCGCAATAAGAGGGTCCGGGAAATCGGTATTTTAAAATGCTCATTCTGTCTCATCATGTGAGATAGCATTTCCTATGTAATTTTGGTCGTAGATTTCATAAATGAATTCCGCAAGGCCCTCCGGCCAAAGGGGGCGCTCCAAATCAAAGATGGCGGCTAAATGTGAAAGGCAGGAGGTTGCATTTTTTTAAATATTCACCGAAGGAACAAGGAAAGTGAAGTGCCTTTATTTTCATGTATTTATGGCCAAGAAACTTAAAT